CCCCCCCCCCCCCCCCCCCCCAAAGAACCAACATAAAATTTGTCATTTTCATATGAGCTGTTTTTGGGCAGAGGATGTAGTTATTTGCTTTCAAAGAAACACTCCGTAAAGTTTAAGAAATCCACTCTAAATAGAAGTCAAACATAGAGAAAGTAACAGAATAGGAGTTCCATGTTATTATCCCGAAATAAGAGTTTGTATTGTGATAATGTGGCATTGTATATGGACATTTAACAATACATTTTGGTATTATAAACTGACTTGCATTGTACGGAGTAACTCTTATTTTGGGAATATAAACGCAGAACTCCTATTTTGAATTTTTGATACATTTTCTGTGTTTTACTCCTAGTTTAATCTTTTTCCCATAAAGTTTCCTTGTTGTGTCCTATATTATAAAGTGATATGCTGCTTTTGTAAATGATGGAGTGGCCTTAAGTTATAGCAAACATATTGGTTGATGATCTCTGGGATCTTTTAAGAATAGCCCCACCGTCCCATCCTCTCTAAACCCCATTTGTCGGACTTCCATGGCGGAGGGAGTAAATATTTTCTACTCCTTATTTAATTGAATTCACAGCAGGATCAAAACAGTCTTTTCTGTCACATTTTATATGATTCTACGTATTCAAGCCTTCTTTCATTACAGTTTGTTTTAATGCCGCATCTATTTTCTCTCTGTCTGGAAAAAGAAGTTTATAAATGTTTGGCTGGTTGGTTGGACAGACTGAGTGGAGAGCAATGGGAGTTCAGCAGAGCCGCGGATGGATCCACTACGCCATTCACCGACCAGAGCCGCACATCATGCTTTTCAAGAGACCACTGAACGCTCCGCAGCAGCTGGCGAACGGACAAGCTCAGTAAACCCGGTGGTTCCCGAGTGACTCAATCTGATGCTTACATTTTGTACTTTTCCCAAGTAAAAACATTAGAATGGGCAATTTCTTTACTGTTTGAGAGAGCCTGTCTTCTCCCTTGGTAGACATTATTTCTTCTCTGTATGGTGAAGGTTCTGTGATATTTTATGTGAAAGGGTTGTTCTTTTTTAAGGGTAATACTGGGGAAATATCCATTTTCCATTTGAATTCGGCATTTTTGATAGTTTCAACTTCTAGTTAGGATTGTGAATCCCTTGGGTTTGTTTTTGTGCTTTGGCGGTTTACTTATGGTTTAAACTTTCATTAGGTGATGATCCTTCCATTGTTTTTTTATTTAAAGGAAAAAACATCTTTCATTAAGATAACACTTCAGGTAAAAAGTTCTGGTTCAATTAAAGCCCTAAGCCAGCTAGGTTTAAACATGCAATTTTCAACTAAAACTTTCAATAGATTAGAACCACCATTTCTCCCTTCATTAAGTTGTCAAGCAATTCAATCCTCTTACAGGTTTATAACCATAAGTTTGAACTTTACAAATATAGTTTTATCATCACTTATCTTCGTACTTTTGATTCCGTGATTTTTGTTACTTTTGTTACTTGTTAAAACATCTCGAACCATAGCATTTAGCTTGCTAAAAGTTATAATATAACTAGCTAAATCCTTTTGTTCTTCTCCAAGGGGCATGTTTTATTTTAGCAAGCTTGTCCAAAAATGATTTTAACTTGCTAAATATAACAAGCCCCTCAAACTTTAGCAAGCCAATACTTTAAAAAATAAAATAACAAATTATGGTTGGAAAATGAAACAAAAAAGTACTTGTTATATCACTATTCACTTACTATAATGTAAAAAATAACAAATCCATATAACAAGCATGATTAAAACAATAATTATTGTTAAAGTCTATTATTATTAATGATGATTATTATCATTACTAATTATAATTAAAGTTAAAATAAAAATTATTGTTAAAGTCTATTATTATTAATTATCAATAATTATTTTTATTATTACATTTAAAAAATAATATTTTATTATTAATTGTTATGATCATCATTATTAATTATTATTAGTTAATGTTTATAACAATAATGGTTATTATCATTTGAATTATTATTATTATTATTAATTACTATTATTGTTATTATTAATTATAATGATAATAAATTATTATTATTATTACTAATTATAATTTTAGTTATTAATTAACAATGATAATAATATTAATTATTAATATAATTTTTTATTGTAATTATTATTATTATTATTATTATCTTAATCATTATTGTTGTTGTAATTTTTGTTATTATTATTTTAAAATTTTTTATATTTAAATAATCTTCTGATCCGAATTAATCTATTCTGAATAGATCTAATCTGAATGAATCTGATGTTATCTAAATAAATTTGATCTCATTTTAAATTTTTAATGAATTTGACTTTAAATAGTCCATCTTACATTCTTACGTTCATCATCGCTGCAATTAGCTCATCTGATTAATCCGCCCTCCTGCAGATAAAAAGCCCACCTACTCGCTGCAATTAGCTCATCATCGTCGAATTCACCTCCACCATAACACCACCGGAGTCGAGCTTATCTCCGCCGTCTCCCACCGGGGTGTGTCATAGTCGTGTCCTCCACGCGATTTCCCCTCAGGTATGGCTTCTCCATGATTCGCAGTGATATCCAAGATTCAACACAATACAAATTCTATGTTTTAGCATTAATGAGAATCACGGGTTTCATAAAATTTCATAAATTGATTAGATAAATCATAAAAACACACTGCTAGTCATTGGAAATTTGATTATTTCCTGGAAATTACACAGATGATGTCAAAGCACAGCCCTTTCATATTTTCCATTGATAAAATGAGTTGTAACTACACTTTATTGTTCCTGTTTGAGATTAACCCTTGATTCTACACCATCCTGTCATTCTTATAAGTATACCCTTTCCTAATAAACTAATCATTCTTATTCCAATCCCAATTTGCATCCACAGAAACCATATTTAGATATTTAGAAAACCTAGCTTAGCCAACTCTTCTAGCTAGACCGTCTAAACCATCACGATTATTTTGGAAAAAGCTGAGTTGCACCTAGTCAGGAATTACATTTCAATTTCTTTTGCCTTATGAACTTAACGAATCTCACGCGAAGATTAAAACCGCTATAGGTTGTTACAAGTATTCGAGGCAACAAGGACTAGGAATGACACTTTATACTGTATATTGTTGTGCTCTGATGGTGTTCACCTATACAATTGAGATGGAAGTTTTAGAGAAGTTTGTCAATGCCACTATAATTTCGCTGACTCCCCCCCCCACCCCTTCCCATTTATTAGGTTTATATGACATGTTGTTTGGAGAGTTCTTTTTTCTTAAAAATAACTAAAAGTAGAATACTGTCTATGTTGTTCCTACTACTTTGGTTGATATGGTGGCTCATCTGTAATTCTTTTCTTAATAATCTTCTATTATGTGTTCATCACTTTGTTCCCTTCATTTGTTCTGTTTGCCGTTCAGATAAAAACTGCTTTGACTTGCATAATGTCTCGTAGTAACCGCAATGCCATTGTTGCTGTTGGCTTAGTAGCCTTTGCTGCTGCTGGCTTAGCATTCCCATTTTACATGGCGTGAGTCATACCCGTTTTCAATTCTTATGAATATTACCAAAAAAATTTCTTACCGTTTCTCTTAGAATTCATGCAAATGATTGATCTATAATTCAGGTCAAGATCATCACGTTCAACACCGGTGATTGATGCTTCGAAAGCGCTACCTCCACAAGCAACTTTCCGCGGGCCTTATATCAATACTGGCTCGCGTGATATTGGACCTGATCATAGAACCTACTCTAAGAATTAATTTGCCGCACACAAATTTATGCACACTGTAATATGCGTTTTGGGGCATTCCGGGTTTCAACAGTACGCCACCGTTTGGAAATGTGTATGGATTTAAACCTTTTTCTTTTTAAATATATATATCTTGGTGTGTATGTTGAAAAGTAATGACATGGTTGATGCCTCCAAGCAACTTTGATCAAAGATTGATTTGGTGAATGTGTGAAATTGTCTCATTGTGCTGTTTATATTAATACATTCAAAAAATTAAATTTAAGAACTCTAAACAGTGAGAATAGTGAATCTTTAAAAGTATTGGACTCTAAAGAGAGTTGCTTGTTCTATTTTTTTTCTAGGTTGTAGACTTGCAATCTTAATCATCACCTTAATCCCATAGTCACAAATCGGGCAATCGAACAAGAGTTATGCATGAGATAAAAAGAAATATAATTAAAAGTCTTATTTTGATTTTACAAGATTTGAGAAATTTATTGAGATTTGAAAAGTGTTTGCATAAAATTTGTTCAGAGGATTGAGAAATATTATTGTCATTCATTCGTTTCTTTTCATGGAAAGAAAAGAAGTAAAAAGTTTATTGTGAAACAAATAAAAAACAGTGAATTTAATTGAAGAAGTGTGAACTTCAATTTTTTTTGAAGGAATTGATTTTTTTGGGATGTTTTCAAAATGGAGAGTAGAACAATCATTTCATAATGGAGGAAGGGACACAAATTTGACTGCTTCTTAAAACTAAGGTTCAAACTATTTTTTGTAGATCTTTTCACACAAAAATGCAATTTTTGTTGTCTATATCAAAAAAATACTTCTTCCATCCCACTGTTTTTGTGCACTCTACTTTTTTAGTAAAAATTTTAGGCTGTAATTGACACATTTGCCCTTCAAATTAATTCACTCTTTCAGTTTCAGTTAATATAAATTTATAAATTCATCTAGTACACAAAAGAGAAGCTCTCTTTTGGGCCAGGGCCAATAAGCCCATTTCCAGATCGCGCCCTCAAAGACAAAACGCCATCACCTATCAACGGATAAGATCACACGCAGGAGCTTCTTCGTTCACAAGGCTCTTTCTGATCATTGAAATGGCAAGCACGGGAACAGCTCTGCCATTGATCTCCTCCTCCTCCTCCTCTTCTTCTTCATACACTAGAAGAAACTACAGTCTACTTGCAGGAAACAATACGCCGCCGTTTACCACTGCCAAGCTTCCGCCGAGGACCTCATATTTCACCATTGTATCTCAACAGAAATCCAAGAAGCTCAGAAAGGTAAGCCGGAAGTTTCTATTATATGCAATTTAGGTTTTCGTAAGCTTCCTAATTTCGTTTCAATTCCTCGATTTTTTATTGTAATTAATCGCAATGCATGTCCGAACGCACAGATAATACTGAAAGAGGATGTGGGAGCCTTGGGGAAGAAGGGAGAGCTGTGCGCTGTGAAGGCAGGTTACTATAGGAACTACCTGCATCCGCTGGGAATGGCTCAAATTGTCACACCTCAACTTCTTAAGTAAGTTTATGTGATGTGTATAACTGTATACTATGTTTGGTTCAATGAATTTGAAAGATAAAAGAAAAGAAAATGATATGGGAAAAAAAATTTCGTTGTTTAGTTTTTTTTATTTGAAAATAAATTTTCTTGTTTAGTTAGAGAGGAAAAGGAAATGAAATTGCATACCGAACTAAGAGAGGAGATAACAAAATTTCTTTCATTTTGGTGAGGAAAAGGAGATAAAACCTTTTTCTTTTACATTCTTTTCGAATTCCTTGAACCAAACATGGTGTTAGTGAGTTGCCTGTTTTTCATTAATCCATCTAAGGTTCTACTGAAATGTGAGATTTTCCTGGGAACAATGTTTACTTTAATTTTTTTTTAATTTTTTTCACTGGGGTTAAACTGAGAACTGCTTAGATATATAATTATATGAGCCCCGCTACTCTGCCCTACTGGTGACACCATGGGTGACACTACCTGTGATTGTTCTCATGACGCTGTCACCTGTGGGGACACAATAACCTTTTTTTCATAACTATATACTATATGGATTCAGGTTTGAGAGATAGAAATGTGATACTTTAAGATTTGTTTGAGTTGAGTATAAGAAATGTGATTAATGAAATTGTTCGAAAGTGTAAGCAAGGGAATGATCGGAGTTCGGAATAACTTCGGAAAGCAATTTATCATGTCCTTGTTTGGGTGAGAATAAATTGGAGAGGGGAGGAGAAGTGTAAGTAACTATGGTGTAGAAGGCAGAGTATGTGATAGAAGGTGGCGATTTAAGTGAATTTGAGTAGATATTCTATTGTTTGTCTTGCCATTTAACCCTTTAAAGTTAATTTCTTGAAGATACTACTCAGAATCTACCATTGTTTTTCATTTTTTATAACAAAATGGAAATGATACTTTTCTGCTTTCTAACCCTACATTCAGTACTCCGCTTCTATATTCAATTGTTTTGCAGAGTTTAGCTGGGCCATAGTTTATAGCTTGTATGAGGCTTGCTAGACGGTCTATATAATTTTTTTCATCCTTAAATCACACTTGTTCAGGATTTAATTTCGCAATGAGAGTCCATACTAAAGTATAGGTCATGCCATTAGTTTTATTCCAGAGATGTAATAATGACCACATTTTTCATGGACAACTAAATTTAAAAGTTTAAATGCTTCATCACAGAGAAATGAAGATTGAAGAAGAGAGAATTGAGGCTGAGAAAAGACGGGTATGAGTGCCAGGTTATGGGTACATATTGCCATTTTTAAAAATATATACTGCCAAACAATTCTTCAGGGATTATACCTGGTTTGTCATTGTTACTGTTGTTGTTGCTGAACAGTTTTATAAATAATTGCGGTCATAAATACTTGGATCATTTTAAATTTTAATAATGCATCCAGGTTAAAGAAGAAGCACAGCAACTTGCTCTAGGTTTTGAAACTTTTGGAGGCTTGAAAGTAAAACGCACGGTCGGTAAAGGAAAACAAATATTCGGAAGGTGAGTTAGAATGTTTTGTTCAGTTATAAAAGAGTACTTTCTTATTGCCCCCATCGAGTGTATTTGGGATTGCATTGTCATTCACTTGTGCGACAATTTTACAGTGTCACTACCCAAGATCTTGTGGACATAATCAAAGCACAATTACAAAGGTATGATTCCCTAATGAATATTTCAGCATGACATGGGAATGCTGACTAATACATAAAATCTGGAAAAAACACTAAAATAATATGCTTTTATGGTCTTTTTCGTTCCAAAGTCCCAAAATTCATCTTGCTTAAGGTTTGTTTGGGACCGGAAAATTACTAGAGAAGAAATTGTATGGATAATTTGGAAGGAAAATGTGGGGCAAAATACTAGATAGTGTAAAATTCATAAATGTATGTAATTTTATAATCTTTATATATATACATCAGGATTTGAATTTTATAATATTTAGATATATACGTCAGACCTATTATTTGAAAGCCATAATATCAACATACATATATACTCGAATTTTGAAATGAGTTATCATGTTTCATTTTACCATGCATTTTCTGGGTAGGGATAAGGGTGTGCTCATCCACAGTCCACACCCTCCCCATACCTTACTTTTGTAGGATTTTACTGGGTTGTTGTTCTATGCATTTTCGATAGTTAAAACCCAACACACATATTATCCGTATTTCTATGTAGGGATGTGGACAAAAGAATAATTTCTCTTCCAGAGATTCGTGAAACTGGAGAATACACTGCTGAACTCAAGCTTCATCCAGAAGTAACAGCGCAACTTAAAGTGATTGTATACGGAAATTGAAGGCAGAGACTTGCAAGATTAGTTTACACTTTATTAATGGAAGTTCATTATGAGCCATTTTGTCGAGGTAATTTGTCTTTTGATTATGTAAATTTTCCATGCTCTGAATCTGGTAAAACTTATGAATATGGATTGTAAATGTTATGACTAACTAATGCTACCTATGGAAAAAGTTGGTGAAAAAGTGTTGTACAATAATCAGTGCCCAAAATTTGCGAAGTGGATTGTCATCCACTCTTCTGTAAGTTTAAATGTTTACTAAAATTTCAAAACAAGCAGAGTACATTAGCATTAAAGACTCGGATAATAAGCTCCACCTTTCTTAAATTTCCTAGGCTTGTTATTAAGATAGAATAATGTTAAAACACTCATTTGAAAATTGTGAATGATATATGAAAAATGATTACTTTTCTAATATTGATTGAGGAGAAGTACATGATATACCCGGGGTGTGTGTGTGTATGTGTGTGCGTGTGTATGTATGTATGTATGTGTGTGTGTGTGTATATATATATATATATGAATTACTGAATTACAAGAGTCATCTTTCTAAGTTTCCCTAATGACATCACAAAGATGAAATCATTCTTCGAGATTGCCATCATGTCATTCATTTAGATGCTTTTACAACTATGTACAGCTTATTTGTCATAACTATATATTCCACACCTTCTCAAATTGGAGCATATACATAATACTCCCTCTGTCCTAAATTAATCTTTCTAGTTATTATTACGGCTTCTCAATAACTTATGTTTGTATGTATGTTTTCATTCATCATTTGATAATATAAAATATTATTGTCACCTCTTATTTTTTTGAACTTTTGATGTAGTTTTGAAGAGTGTTATTTGTATTGTTTAGTTCTCTACCATTTTGTAAATAAAACCATTTTAAAAGAGATGAGATTTTGCACGTTCTTCCAAATGAGAAAATAAATTGGGACCGATGGAGTATGCAGTTATGCACCGAGCTTGGTATAAATATATCCTATTCTAGGACCTCATAAAGCCTTGTTAGTTGGCAGAACATTAGAAAATTGGTAATCTGTGCAAACATAGCTCGTCACAATGACACAATGTGTCTAACAATGATATTCTATTGGTCGAAGTGACCATCAGCTTCATCATGTTTACTTCTTTCATGCTATACTGGGTTTATACCAAAGTGTCTGGCTCCTTAATTACCACACATAAATTGTACTAGTCCTTTGCTCCCATATTTAATTTATGAAGATGTTTCAATCATAACTTTCACATGTCTCAAGGGCCATTGCACGATATTCTACTTTGACACTTGACTTGCAACTAGGACTTGTTTATTGCATTTCCAGTTGAGCGTGTGTGAATTGAGCAGAAGTTGATTGGTTCAGATTCAATACCCAGAAGTTGACCGCGTGTGAATTGAGCAGCCAGCCCAATCTGCATCACGATTCTCCAATGTATCGTGTCTTCTGCCTTTAGGAGTTTTC